CACAGGCGAGCACAATCACACCACAGCCACAGGCGAGCATAGTCACAGCACAGTCAGCCACAGGCGAGCACAGTCACACCACAGTCACAGGTGAGCATAGTCACACCACAGTCACAGGTGAGCACAGTCACACCACAGTCAGACACAGGCGAGCACAGTCACACCACAGCCACAGGCGAGCACAGTCACACCACAGTCAGACACAGGCGAGCACAGTCACACCACAGTCAGACACAGGCGAGCACAGTCACAGCACAGTCACAGGCGAGCACGGTCACACCACAGTCAGACACAGGCGAGCACAGGTCACACCACCTCTCAGCCTGCCATGGTTGGGATGTGAGAGCTTCAGGCAGGAATTCTCTAGAAACAGCCTTTCCTAGTGTCAGGAAACTAGGAGGGGAGGGCAGGGGACAGGAAGGACAAGGGGCTGACCAGGCCTCCTGTGCCCCCAGAGAGCTGCCACATTTCATAGACGACAATACAGAGGGAAACCTGACTTGCAGAAAGGTCACACACACTTCCTCAGTGTAATGTGTCCCATGCAGTATTTGGTGCATCCACTGAACACTGTACTGCACTGCGCCTGAGGAGTGATGCCCGCCCTCACGGCCCTTCCCTCCAAGCCCAGAGCCTGTGGAGGCCTGGGCCTAAAGCCAGACCAGTACACTCCTCCACGGGAGATTGGAGGGCCCGGCCGCTCTCCTAGGGCTGAGGCTGGAACTTTCGCTTCCTCAAGTGATCTTGTTGTTGATGTTTTGTTTTGCTTTGTGCTGGTCCTGAAACTTGAATCAGCACCTGAGCGCAGCCCCTTAGCTTTATTTGCTCAAGGCTAATGTTCTACCACCAGAACCATCCCTTTTTTTAAAAAGCAGTTTACTGGAGATAAGAGCCTCGAGTTGGCTGCCTGGCTGCTGCCAAATGCGATCCTCAGACCTCAGCCTCCTGAGTACTTAGGATTACAGGCGAGAGCCCCCGGCACCCGGTGTCAAATGGTTGTCTTAACAGCACCACAGCAGCTGGAGTGCTTTACATTTAATCAGGGTTTGATGCAATTTTCTAGCCAGGGACAGAGAGGGGAAAGTGCCCATCCCGCCGGGGCCCGGGGACATTGGGCAATGGGCACGGGGACGGGGGAGGGAGGGGGAGGGGGTGGTCCTGCTCTCTGAGAAGCTGGCCCTGGCCAGAGCCGCCGCCCAAGGGCCGCCTGACAGAGGGGCTGCCTTGGGCAGCGTCACTTCTGCGTGTTTGCCGTGAGCTTCCCGGGCCAGGAGGCCCTCAGCACCATCTACAGCACCATCCTGTCTCAGCACCTGTCTTACCGCTCGGCCTCCCTGGTCGTCCAGAGGATGAGCAGCCAGCTGGTGGCCTCGGCCCTAGGTAAGATGGCCGGCCTCCGCCTGCGGGTAACAGCTTCATGTTTCCCCTGGTAAATATTTTATTTATCCTTTGGAAGCAATACATTTTCTTGGAACAATGGCTGTGTGGAGTACGGTCGCTTGGGCGGCAGGGGGGGTGGGGGGCAGGGGACAGGAGCTGCGGAGCACAGGGGTGAGTTACGGGCTGCCCTGCCCCCCTCCTAGAGGCGCTGCTGATTGCATCCTCAGGCTGGCACCATTTCCTAGGCCTTGGCTGGAGAACTTTGGGCCTGCGCTCCGCTCCCTGAGCCCATCAGGAGTGCGCGGGAATCCATGTGCCTTTCTTTCCCTGTAACAGCCTTGCATCAGAAGGTCGCCACCACGTTCCTCCCCACGGCCATCAAGTTTCATTACATCTTCAACCTCAGGGACCTGTCCAACATCTTCCAGGTACCGCTCTTTAGCCATTACGTCATGCCCCGCCCCGTGGCCGAGTCCCCGCCCCTCGGCGCTCCCCTCCCTTGCAGCTCCAAGGAGAGAGCAGAGAGCGCAGATGGAGGGAGGCGGTGAGGCTGGTGGTGGGAAGCGTGGTGGTGATGATGGTGATGGTGGTGATGGTGGTGGTGATGGTGGTGATGGTGGTGATGGTGGTGATGATGATGATTTGTGGTGAGGCTGGTGGTAGGAAGCGTGGTGGTTTTGGTAGAGATGGTGGTGATGATGGTGATGATGGTGATGGTGGTGATGGTGGTGATGATGGTGATGATGGTGATGATGGTGATGATGGTGGTGATGGTGATGATGGTGATGATGGTGGTGATGGTGGTGATAGTGGTGATGGTGGTGATGATGGTGATGATGGTGATGGTGGTGATGGTGGTGATGATGGTGATGGTGGTGATGGTGGTGATGGTGGTGATGATGGTGATGTGATGGTGGTGATAGTGGTGATGGTGGTGATGATGGTGATGATGGTGATGGTGGTGATGGTGGTGATGATGGTGATGGTGGTGATGGTGGTGATGGTGGTGATGATGGTGATGATGGTGATGGTGGTGATGGTGGTGATGGTGGTGATGGTGGTGATGGTGGTGATGGTGGTGATGGTGGTGATGATGGTGGTGGTGGTGATGGTGGTGATGGTGGTGATGATGGTGATGATGATGATTTGTGGTGAGGGTGGTGGTAACAGTGGTGGTGGTGATGATGGTTTTGGGGTGATGGTAGAAGTAAGAATGGTCCTTGGTGGTGGTGGTGGTGATGGTGAGGATGCTTTGGTGGCGGTGGTGGTGGTTGAGATGGTGACAGTTGTGATGATAATGAGTCGTGTCAGTGGCTGCATTTCCTTTTGCTCGTGGACTGTCTATTCTGAGTTAGGCATTAGGTCTGGCGCGTAGCCTCCCACTCCGCGGGAGGGAGGTGTCCGCCAGGTGCCCGGTCCTCACAGAGCCCCTCAGCATCCCGCGTGCTCACACCCCGCTCCGTCATTCGGAGTGCACGGCGTGTGCACGTGTCCTGTCCCTAGCGCTTTCTGTTCCTGGAGTACACACTCCACAAAGTGGGCTCTGTGCCCTCACGGGGCACAGCACGTGGGCTGCAGGCCCCCCCCCCCGCTCCTCCGCCCC